AAGGCGGCGGAGGCAAAGGCGGCGGTGGCAAAGGCGGCCGAGGCAAAGGCGGGGGAGGCAAAGGCGCAAAGGCGGCCGAGGCAAAGGCGGGGGTGCCAAAGGCTGGCGGTGGAAAGTATGGCTAAGGCCAAAGCTGCAGCAAAGGTCCAGGTGGGAGTGCCGAAGGCGGCTGAGGCTCCCAAGGCGAAAGCTGCCGAGCCAAAGGCCGAGTCGTCCGAGAAGAAGGCGGGAATTTATGAAGAAAAGCCAAGCCCGTAAGCCCAAATCAAAGCCTTGAAGCCCTGGCCAGAAGTGACTCAACGAGCCTGGGCTTTCCACCACCGCCTTTCTTCCTGTCGTCCGGGACGAGTCAGACTGCCGCGTGGTGCTCTTCCATTCTTCCATGCCTTTTTTCTCGTCCGAGACGAGACTGCCGCATGCTGCTCACGGTCCGAGACGAGCAGATATTAATGGAAAAGTGAAGTGCAGCAGGGGAGCAAATCGTTGTAAGTATTTTAAGTAATTGAACTTGCAGGCTAGTTACGAACTCGAGGGGTATCCAGAGGCAGGAGGTTGAGAGCTGACGAGGCTTAATGGGGAGATCCCGTGTGACTGGGCTTGATTCATTCAGCGACGTCGACAGCGTAGGTATAGTAAGAATTCGGCAATAATAATTATTACGTGAACAATCGAGAACAAGATTAGAAATAAAAGTAAACTTCACTCGGTCCCGATCACAAGATCTTAGAAATCTTAGGAGGAAAGACAAGCCAAGTCCAGGTAGATTCAGCCGTTCAGGGCATTCCTCAAGTGTCTCTGGAGGGTCGGTAGGAAGTTTCGGCTTGCCGATGCATTTGAGTAATTAAAAAGTAATTAGTAATAATTTTGAAATGATTTCGTGAAACGATGGAGCAATGTACTCTTCTGTCTATGTAACCAATTTAGTATACTTCTCAATTGTTGAACTCTCAATGGATGATCTAGATTCCAATTTTAAGAAGTGAAGTGGAACGGTTCGAGGATGCGGTTGTGCGGTTTCGGCCGCATAAGGCTGCCTTTTGGTTTCTCAAGACAGATTAGTACACTACTGACATGCTGCCAATCAACCGACTGATTCATTGATTCTTTATGTCTTGCTATTCCGGGGATCCTTCGGGTAGATATTCATGACTATTTACTACAATATTCATTTAATGACATTAAGTATGAAATATAAAATCAAAATCGCATAGGAACTCGGGCTCTCTAATTTTCTCAGCCCTTGACCTGCAGAGCCAGATTTCAGGATTCATTAATTCTCCATTTGACAAGTCCTAACAATTAAATTAACAACAAAATCAGACTCGAGCAGTGGGAACGGCATGAATTTGTCTTGGAAGCTCTAAGGGCCGAGCAAGTACTAGTAGCAACAAATTCAATTAATGATGTTGACAAATGTTGTCATTCTATTTCTGTATGTCATATGAATATATAAATAAATATATATATATATATATATATATGTACACATATAAATATGGACCGAATCTGACTAAGTCGTACTGAGCAAGTCTGTCCGAGGAAAATTTCTATTTAGTAGTTGGCTTGGAGTGCTGGGTTCTCATTTGCCATGAGATCTTCCGTATCAACGCATGACTCAGTTTAAATCATGGACCGAAGCGGGAGGAGTGGCCTTCAATAAAAATAATATAAATAACTTATTGAATCCTAGTCTAGTAATTAGTAATAAATAAGACTACCCAAAGAATCTTCTTAGGCTGTTAATTGATAGGATATATACTATCCTATTATAGGATATATAGGCTATTTATAAATAGCCTAAATAGTCTATTATAGGATATGTAAATATCCTAAAATAGACTAATTTTCTATGTCTTGAAATGCCATCGTATTGGCATTGAGCTGCAAGGCCACAATAAGTTGCTTGCATCAGTGCCTTCACTTGGCATGTGAAAGGGTCAGCAGGAAGCCAAAGGCTCCTAAGGTTGAGCTAGGATTCGTAGCGAGACAGGAAACCGAAGGCTAGATCTAGAGTAATGATCGAGAGGAACAGGAAGCCGAAGGCTCCTCTAGAGTAATGATCGACAGGAAGCCCAAGGCTCCTCTAGAGTGTTTGCATGCCTGTAGAGTGTGAGTGCTTGTTTAATGCATGTGCATATATCTGCAGCTTTTGTGCTCGAAGCTCTTAAGCTAGTGCCCTTCGAAGCCATGAGGGTGGCAGCTCTTGTGCTGCTGGTGGCCGTGTGGGGCCGTGTCGACGATGGATGGGAAGTCGTTCGCACGGCCCCTGAAGATGGTGCAGCTGGTGCTGGTGCTGCCCCGAACCAGCCGATGCAGGTGGACGAGGAGGGCCCTCCGGAAGTGCCAGTGCCGGTGCAGGCGGAAGTGATCCCCGGTGCTGGTGCTGCAGGTCCGGAAGTGCCAGTGCAGGCGGAAGTGATCCCCGGTACTGGTGCTGCAGGTCCGGAAATGCCAATGCCGATGGAGGCGGAAGTGATCGACCTGAGCTTCGAGGAATCTGCGGAGCTCCATGAGGCGGCGGAGAAAGCGAAGGCAGCCGCTGCCGCTGAGGCGGCTGAGAGGGCCAAGGCTGCCGCTGAGGCGGCTGAGAGGGCCAAGGCTGCCGCTGAGGCGGCTCAGAGGGCGAAGCTCGAAGAAGATGAGAAAAAGAAGGCAGAAGCTCTAGCAAGGGCTCAACAGAAGACGAAGATGCACGAGGAGGCTGCCAAAAAAACTCACGAGGCATCAGAGAGGCTAGCTGAGCTTTGCATGGCTGAAGAAGAGGCAGCAGCCCGTTTGGAGCAACTGCTGCAGCAGGCGGCCTCCAGCTCAGGCGCCACTTCAAAAATTTAGGAAGCCAATGGCTCCTTCAGCTTTATAAGTATAGATCAGGCAGCCACAGGCTCCTAAGCTCCGGTCCGGCCTGCAGGTGCTCAAAGCTCCACGTGGAGACCGGGTGCACCTGGCCCAGAGCAGACTCAAAGCCCAGGCTCGATCCCGACAAAATCTTTTAATCTAAGACAATGGCTCCTAAGCTCCTGTCCGGCCTGCAGGTTGTCAAAGCTCCACGGCTGCACCTGGCTCGGAGCAGACTCAAGGCCCAGGCTCGACCCCGACAAGTTCTAAGGCTTAATATAGGAAGCCCATGGCTCCTTCAGCCTTTAAGTAGGATGGATCAGGCAGCCACAGGCTCCTAAGCTCTGGTCCGGCCTGCAGGTTGTCAAAGCTCCCCGTGGGCAACTGGTCCGGAGCAGACTCAAGGCCCAGGCTGGACCCGGCAAAATCTAAGGCATGTAATCGATCCAGATCCCTGCTGCAGGTGCTGGAGTTCCCCCGTGGCGGCGAGCTGTTCCTGAAAGTCCACCACCGCCGCAAGGGCCGCCGCCGCAAGGGTGGCAAACTCAACCGCCGCAAGGGCCGCCGCCGCAAGGGTGGCACACTCAACCGCCGCAAGGGCCGCCGCCGTTCAGCTGGCCTCAAGGACATGCTTGGGCTCCAGGCTACCCTTGGCAGTTTCCTCAAGCATGGCCTGGAGTCACGTGGCCTCCTCCGCTAGGCTGGCCCAGCTGCACGTGGCCACAAGGTCCACTTCAAGCTCCACCTCAAGGTCCACTTCAAGCTCCACCTCAAGGTCCTCAAGCTCCACCTCAAGTTCCTCAAGCTCCACCTCAAGTTCCACTTCAAGCTCAAGGTGAAGTTCACTTTCAAGCTCAAGCACAAGCTTCACCTCGACCTCCACCTCCACCACCTCAAGTTGAACCTCAAGCTCGAGAAGCTCCACTCCCACCGCAGGAACCTCCACGTCCACAAGCTGAAGGTCGACCAGAAGCTGCTGGGTTTTCAGGTGGAGAAGCTCGTGCAGGACATGGTTTAATCAGGTAGCCAGCGGCTCCTTTTTTACAGGATTTATAAATCAGGTAGCCAGCGGCTCCTTTTTTACAGGATATTGGTGGCATCGTAATGCTTGCTTCCAGGACCTCGCCTCGACCTACGATGGTGCAAAGTCTGCCATGCCCAGAGCTACTACCAGTCCGGCACATGTGTCAACCCGGCCTGCGAAGCTTAGCTTATTTTGAGACCCTAGACCCTAAACCCCTAAACCCTCAACCCTAAGGCCGAAATTTAATCCATACAGCCGAGGCATTGTACACGGGCAAACGTCCAACCACGGGGTGGCGCTTAAAGCGAGGAACCCGTGGCAAGAAGCGGGCTGAGTGGTGGAGCAAGCGGCACGGAGGCCAGTGTGTTATAAATAGCAGGCAGCCTTGGGCTCCTGTAAGTATATATATATATATATATATATATATATATTATAAATAGCAGGCAGCCTCGGGCTCCTTCCTATAAGTATATATCCTATAAGTATATTATATATAATATATTATATTATATATTATATATATATATGTAGATAACTCCTTAGAGTGTTGTCCCTGCCCATGCAAGTAAAACCCCCTGCAGGTGCTTCTGGCTCCAAGGGCCAGGATGACGAGGAAGATGACGATGAAGAAGAGGAAGACGATCAGACATGGGGCCCCTGGAATCCCAAAGATGGCTCGAACGGTGACAAGAACGGCGGTGGATGGGGCTCCTCTGGTGGATGGGGTTCCTCGCAAAGCTGGGGAACTCCAGCCGTGTGACCATGCAGCGAGCATAATGCACGATCGGTTCTTGCAGAAAAAAGTTTTGTGTCCGTGTTGTGTACTGTAAGTGACTTAAGGCAGGAAGCCTCAGGCTACTTGAAGTGGTAGAGGTGCAGCAATTATAACAGGAGCACTATATGCACCCTAAACCTTAAACCCTTAAACCCTAAAGCCCCAAACCCTAAACCCGCCTGCGAGCTTCTTGCAGTTTTTCAATAGCGCAGGAAGCCTCAGGCTCCTCAGAAGGTTTAGGACAGGAAGCCTCAGGCTCCTCAGAGGGTTTAGAACAGGAAGCCTTGGGCTCCTGAAGCTTGAAGCTAGAGTTTGACCGTGGCCGAGGATTACTGTAGCACTATAGAGGCTCCCATGTCAGCCCAGGCCCCTTGTCATCTGCATACCGTGCTGCAGTCCTGGAGCTCAAGACAAGACGTGTTTCACCCTCGCTTGAAGCCATGAGCCAGAGTGCCTTGGACGGGTTCTTCGGTGGAAAGGGTAGTGAGCCAGAGCTCGACACTCAGCAAGAAGACACTCAAGAAGTGGAGGTAGTTCAGGAAGTCCCGGAGCCTCAAGAGCCTGAAGCTAGCGAGGGTGAGGCTGCACCCAAGGCCAAGGCCAAGGCCAAAGCCAAGGCCAAGGCCAAGGCCAAGGCCAAAGCCAAGGCCAAGGCAAAGGCGAAGGCCAAAAGCAAGGCCGCCGAGGAGCCTAAAGCAAAGGCCAAAGGCAAGGCGGCAAAGTCCGAGAAGTCCAGCGAGGACGAGAAGGCGGGCGACGAGGCCGTGGCGAAGGAGGAGAAGCAGCAGGAGTCGAGCCAGGAGCACGAGCAGGACGAGAAGGCCGACAGCGACAGCAAGGCCACCAAGCCCCAAGCCAAGGCCAAGGCGAAGGCCAAAGCCAAGGCCAAAGCCAAGGCCAAGGGCAAGGGAAGCACGGTCGAAGAGCCGAACCCCCCCCGACAACGGTACGGAGAAGCGACCGGGCAGCCCGCCGGAGGAAAGCAGCAAGGCGAAAAAGTCTCGCTCGGACCAGGACCGTGAGAAAGCGGCGAAGCTGGGCGACCTGCAGCTTTGCAACAGCGAGCCCCAGCCGCCTGCCGGGCAGGGGGAAAGCAGGGACAAGAACAAGGCATGGTGGTTCTCGAAGCACTTGAGCACCATGCCGGACGATATCCAGAAGTTGTTTCTCTCTGAGAAAGTGTCACGGGTGCCTTGCCACATTTTGATATCTAGGCTTTGGCCCTATAAAGGAGGCACCGTCAGAGGCAGCCTTTGGCTCCTGCTATAATTGCCATAGGCTTTTGATCCTTGAGGTAGCCTTTGGCTCCTGCTGTGCAACCATCTGAGGCCGACAAGACGAAGCTCATCAATGGTGCGGTTGAGAAGAAATCCGGGGGCAAGGCCGGCCAGATGTACAAGCTGAACACCGAGTCCGCCGTGCTCCAGCAGCTGAGCACCTTCTACAAGAAGGTTTGTGGCAAGGACAAGGTGAAGGGCAAACCCAGAGCACTGATGGTGGCCAAGCTGGGAGGGGAGGAAGCTTTCAAGAAAGCTCTGGCCACCGGGGATGTGTATGAGGTGAACAACAATGGTTCCTTGTTCTACTGCTTCAGAGAGATCGTCGTCACCAATGAGACTGGCACCAACAATAGGATGTCGACATCGAAGCTACGGAGCATTTAGAGGCTTATGTTTTAAAAGCTTGAATGAGCTATAGATACTAAGTTTTGTTCCCATCAGCTCAGGAAGCCCGACCAGAGCATCACCGACTCCGCCGCCGAGGGATTCGACAGCTTCTTCGCAAACTTCCAACCATGCCTGGAACCGGACCGTGCTGCTGGATGTGGCTCAGAGCTCCAGGGTGGCCTTCTGGCTTTGTGTGACAAACCGGGAGCAGAGAGCTGGACTGCGGAAGCTAGTACGAAGGTGGAGGAAGCCTTGCAGTGGGCAAATGCCACGAGGATCAGTGTTTCCAAAGTGCTTTCAAAGGAGACGGCAGCTTTGAGCAAAAGCTCGGTGTGGACGACCCTCAAGGGCCAGCTCCAGAAGGCTTGGGAGGACTTGATGCCCTTGCACTCGGATCTCGAGAAAGCGAAGCTCTTCAAGAACCTTTCGCTTGCTGAGCTGAGGTCGCTGTTGCAAAAGGCTGCAACTGGCCTGCTCGCAGCCCAGGATTTGATCAAGGGCATGACTGCCCTCATTTGATTTTGAATGTTTCCATTCTACAATTCGTCTTTTAGGATCGACGTGTCATGACACATGTGCATGTTTGCTCTGGGGATCGAAGCAGCTGCTGCGACGAAAAAGAAGTGCATGTATGCATGTGAGCTTTAGGAAGCCAAAGGCTCCTAAGAGAATATTATATATATCCTAGGTGTATGTTGCAAAGGAAGCCTTCGGCTCTCCAAAGAAGACTTTATCTTCGGGTTTGGTGGATGTTTCTTAAGTTAAACTCTGAGGCTTTAGGGTTTGCAGGGCCATAAGTTTTGAGATAGATGATTTTTTTGGTTGAGGTGTCTGGGTTTTCTGGAGTACTCGGGTTTAGGGTTTTTGGTTGCAGCTTTTCTCGAGTTAAAGGGTTAGGCTATAATTGAGGGTTGCGGGCTGGGGTTATAGGGGTTTAGGGTTTTCACGATATTGGATTTGGGATGTTCGGGTGTTCAGGATTCAGGGGTTTAGGGGTTTAGGGTATAGGGTTTGAGATTCGGTGGTTTAGAGTTGGGATGTAGCCTGTTCATGGGTTTAGGGTTTGAGGGGTTTAGGGTATGGGGTTTTGGGTTTGAGATTCGAGGGTTTCGGGTTTGGGGGTAACGTGGGTTCAGGGGTTTAGGGTATAAGGGTTTAGGTTTGAGATTCGGGGGTTTCGGGTTTGGGTGGGAGGGTGTTTAGAGGTAACGTGGGTTTAGGGGTTTATTTGTACGGGTTTAGGGTATTCGGCTTAGGTATTTTGGTTTAGGTCTAAGCTAGGGGCTTTAGGGTTTAAGGACGTTTTAGGGGTTTAGGTTATAAGGTTTAGGGTTTTCACGGGCTTGGGGATAGCAAGGTGTTCAGGGCTTCTGGTTTGCGAGTTTAGGGTAGGGCTTAAGGTGAGTCGAAGTTTCGTCGAAATTTCGATCAAACTTCGACTCCTTCGGTGGTGCTTTTCTCACGGGGCATTGAAAATTTTCAATGCCCGGTAAAAAAGCGCCACCGAAGGAGTCGAAGTTTGATCGAAGTTTCGACGAAACTTCGATTCACATAGTAGAAGTTTCATCGAAACTTCGATCAAACTTCGACTCATGCAGTCGAAGTTTGATCGAAGTTTCGATTCCGAGCAGTCGAAGTTTGATCGAAACTTCTACTGCCCAATCGAAGTTTCATCGAAGTTTCGATTGCGAATCGAAGTTTGATCGGAACTTCGACTCATGAGTCGAAGTTCCGATCAAACTTCGACTCACGAGTCGAAGTTTCGATCAAACTCCGACTCGGAGCAATCGAAACTTCGATGAAACTCCGATTCACTGAATCGAAGTTTGATCGAAGTTTCGATGAAACTTCGACTCATGAATCGAAGTTTCATCGAAACTTCGATGAAACTTCGATTCAACACCCAACTCACCCGGTGGCGCTTTCTGTCCGGGCACTGAATTTTTCAGTGCCCGGACGAAAAAGACCACCGGAAAATCACCCAGCCAGCACCACCCAAACACCACACACGACCCACCGCCCATTGCCCAACACCCACCACCACCTAGCACCCACCACTACCACCCAGCACCCAGCACCCACGACCAACCACCAACGACCCAGCACCCACGGCACCCACACCCAAAACCCGCCACCCACCGCCGCCACGAGCAACCATCCACGACCCACCGCCCACCACCCGCCAGCCACCACCCACCGCCCACGACCAACCACCAACGACACAGCACCCACGGCACCCACACCCACCACCCACCACCCACCGCCCATCGCCACGTACCATCCACGACCCACCGCCCACCGCCCGCTATCCACCACCCACCACCCACCACCCACCACCCAACGTGTATATATATATATATATACATACATATACATATACATATATACATATATATATATATATATATACATATACATTGACATATACATATACATTTTTATTTATATATATATATATATATATATATATATGTATATGTATATGTATATATATGTATATGTATATGTATATGTATATGTATATGTAGATGCATATGTATATGCATATGTATATGTATATGTATGTATATGTATATGTATGTGTATATATGTGTATATGTATATATGTATATATGTATATATGTATATATGTATATATGTATATGTATATATATATATATATATATATATATTCATATATATATATATATATATATATTCATATATATATTCATATATATATATATACACACATATATATATATAAGATAGAAAGATATACCCTAAACCGTAACCCCCTAAACCCTGAACCCGCTAAGCCTGCCCTGAAAAGAACCCTGAAGAGTCCAGTGCCCCAAACCCTAAACCCTGAAAGCCATCAACCCTTAAACCCCCCTAAGCCTAAACCCTCCAAACCCTTAGGGTTTTAGGGTCTGTAAGGGTTTAAGGTTTTAAGGTTTTTCCACAATAGCACTTTAGGGTATAGGGTTCGGGCTTAGGGTCTTTAGGGTATACCTGTTCTAAACCACAAAGGGGTCAGGGCACCCAAAGGGGTTATAGGGCTTAGGGTTTTTTTTTTCGAGGAGCACACGTATATGAGGATGCCGAAGGCTCCTTGAAGATAATGTAGGATAAGGAAGCCAGAGGCTCCTTGAAGCTAATGTACAATTAAGGAAGCCAGAGGCTCCTGTTTTGTGGCCGCTAGACAATATTTGTTTATCCTCAGCAGTCCTCCCAAGCCTTGAATTTTTTGCAGTAGATCTGTGAGATGTGTGCCGCCATGGATCCGGACATCATGCAGCGGGGAGGATCCAAACAAAGAGCTGCGAAACGTGCTGCACAAACTTCGGCAGCAGTTCCAGAACCCAGCCGATTGGCGACCCACCTTCTGCGGTCATTCGGCTGGGGGAAGATGTCTTTGCCAGAAGTACAGGTGGTGGCTGCACTGGTGGAAGAAGATGCATTGGAGCCAGTGAAAGCCGAGATTCGCATACTTGCCAATCTCGGCTCTCGGGGCCTATATCAGGGAAATCTCCGGAGAGACCTATTGAGGCACACTCAAATGCCTGCTCTTGTGAGCAGCAACGTGTGTGTGCCCATCAAGAAAGCTCTCCGGGCTGCGATCCCGTTTTTGGACCCTGTTGACGTGTTTCGGTCGCTGCAGCGACAGCCAATGGTCTTCCGTGAGTTATGCTGCAGGAACGATGGTGACATAGCGAACTTTTGGCGAGAGGTCGGCTCCTCGCACCCTGCACTCCTGCACCATCCCGTGAAGAAGATCAAGAACTACCAATCCAGAGCGGTACCGCTGATCCTGCACGGCGATGGAGTTCCGATTGACAGCAAGGACAGGTCTTGTGCTTTTATCTCTTGGAGAAGCCTGCTCTCCTCACAGACCTCTTCAAAGCTCGTCCATGTGCTGATAAGTGCTGTTTGGACTGAGCAGATCGTGGTGTCTTCCTGTGGCAACACTGTGGCCAGCATCTGGGGACACGTCGTTCGGGCCTTTGAACGATGTTTCGAAGAATGCAAGACGAACAATGACTTGTTCCCGGTGCTCCTTTTTCTGACTGGTGACTTGGAATGGTACAACACGAGTCACAACTTGCCACGGTGGAATTCCAACTTCCCTTGCGGGCATTGCAACATCAGCAAAGACAATATGTTCGACTACAAAAACGTGGCGGAGGTTCCTGTGGATCCATGGCACTGCCCTCGCCGCAGCTGCTGCCCTCTCCTGCGACACCTTGTGAGCCCCAGTGGTGTGATTCCGGACTGGATGCACAGCAAGCACCTCGGCTTCGACCAGCGGCTGGCTGGCTCAACGTTGTGGGTTCTCTGCTGGAGGATCCTTCCTGGCGGAGTAGAGGAAAACCTGGACAATGTATTGCTGCAGATGAAGGCTGTGAACTTTCCTTTTTTCAGATAGGCTAGCTTAAGCTCCTCCTGTTTTCAGATATGTATAGGCAGCTTAAGCTCCTGCTGTTTTCAGATATGGTATAGGCAGCTTAAGCTCCTGTTGTTGTGAGACATGGTATATAAAAGTTGTAGTGTGTAGGCAGCTTCAGCTCCCCTGCAGGACTACTGGCGGCAGCACAAGGGCAATGGCATCAACTACATCACTCAGACCATGGTCCTGGCTGACCCACAGGATATTCACTGCAGAAAGGGATACCCTCGCTTGAAGGCCAAGGCAGCAGAAACTAAGGGCGTTATTGCAGCTTTGGCGAGCATCTGCCAACAGCACCTGCAACAGGACAACGAGGAGCACCAACAGATTGCCCTGGCTTTGAGTTTCAGCCGCGATTTGGACCAAATGGCAGATGGCATCGAAGACTGGAAGCCCTCGAAAGAGGTGGCGGATCGGATGATGCTCACGGCCGTTTGTCTCTTCCAGTGCATGACGATTTTGAATAAGTCCTTTCTGGAGCAGGGCCATCTGGCCTTCCAGTTGACATTCAAGACACACTGGTTTCTGCATGGGCTGCAGCTGGCGAGGCATCTTTCCCCCAAGCTGACTTGGACATACTCCGGCGAGGATTATATGTCCAAATGCAAGGGTCTCCTCAAGATGTGTACCAAGAGCCGGACGATGCTGACTTCGTTGGATCGTTTCATGCGGCAGTACACAGATGCCATGTCAATCGAACTGGCAGAGATCCTTGCACAGCCTGGACCGCCGCTCTGAGGAGAAAAAATGGGACCGTTCCTTAATTGCTGAAGGAAGCCTCGGGCTCCTCGTTCCTTAATTGCTGAAGGAAGCCTCGGGCTCCTCTGAGATTTTGAGCGCCTGCAGTTCTGAAGCAATCTAAGCCTCGGCCTCCTTGTAGGATCTTCAGGGCATGTCGTATCTGCTGCAGCCGTTTTTCAGCTCAAGCTCGCCGCTCGCCTCCGTAGTACAGCCATGGCAGACGAGGCCGAGCAAGCCGTTGAGGTCAAGGACCTCGTGGAGGCAGCTCTGCAGAAAGACGAGGGCGACCAAGCCGTTGAGGGCAAGGACCTCGTGGAGGCAGCTCTGCAGAAAGCCCGAGAGGAGGAGC